AGTTACACCTTCAGCTTAATTTTTCCACTGCAAATATGATGAGGGTTAAATATTTAATGGTGAACTTTTGACATTCTATGTACAGTACCCCTTCATGTCTAAACTCCCTTTCCTCTGTGCCTACCCCCCAAGGTAAACAGCAGTGATTCAGAATGACCACCTTCTCAAGGGGCAATTAGGGATGGACAATAAATGCTGGCCCAGCCAGTGACAGCCATGTCCCAGGGATGAATACTGTAATGTAGTGGATGGGCTGTGTTTGTACACATGATCGTTGTTTCTGGGACTACCTCCTGGAATGGCGGAGGTTACAGCGCACAGAGCTCCCTGGGCAGCAACAAAATCCTCATCCTCCTGATCTCCCCCCTCCCCCAGAGTAACCAACACCAGCTGAGGAAACATGGAAGGTGAGCCTCGAGCACGTCAGCCTCAACAAACCCTCAAACTGTTCCATGTTTCCTCTTCCTCAGGTGTAACTCAAATCTGCTCTCACTGCCTCATCTACACGATGCCCCTAAGGATGCACACTGCAGGGGAATGGAGGAGATCCATGGGAAGGCAGTCAGGAAAGAGACCTCGTTTTCTTTATTCTTACATGGGACATGAGTGTCACTGGCAGAGCTAGCCCTGGAACTGAGCAGCTCACTAGAGCCATTCCAGAGGGCAGCTTAGAGTCAGCCACATTGCTGTGGGTCTGGAGTCACACGTAGGCCAGGCCAGGTAAGGATGGCAGATTTCCTTTTCTAAAGGACATTGGTAAACCAGGTAGGTTTGAAAACAATCCTTAATGGTCATCATTAGAACCTTTAATTGCATATTTGTATTGAATTGAAATTTCACCATCTGCCATGGTAGGTTCCAAACTCATGTCCCTAGAACATTAGGGTTGTCGATTACTAGCCCAGAGGGTTGTCGAGGCTGGGTCATTAAGTATATTCAAGGATGAGAGAGACAGCTTGTTAATCAATGAGGGGGGAATTCAGGGTGATGGGGAAAAGGTAGGGAATTGGAGCTGAGGGTTATCGGAGGAAACATGATCATACAGAATGGCAGGCTAGACTTGATGGGCTGAATAGCCTCCTTTTCCTGTGTCTCGCCGTGTCCCAGTGCAGTGAGATTATCAGCACTGCCCGCAGTGAAGGGGGAGATGAAGCAGGCTCAGGTCGTTTTCTTTGCAACACAGGAGGGCGAGAGCAGAGTGAGTTGAGACGTGGGGTTCTGTTTTGTAGGGTCAGGTGACAATTTCTCAATGAGATTGAAAACTGAAGACAAGGAAACAGGTGAAAGCTTGGTGGAGGCTCTGCACCTTCTCAAGCGGAAATAGCTGTGATTAGAAAGGACAAGCTCCCAATATGGTGGGCTCCAGGCATGGAGAGAGCACACAAAGCTGCGAGCAGAGAGATGAAGACTGTGACTGAACTAAGGAATAGGTAGCTGGGCTGATGCAGTGACTGCAATGAAAGAATGCACACCAGGCTGAGAGAAAGCTGGGTGGCCAGTATATTCGCAGCTCAAAGGAAATACCCTGTGCTTAGATCAAACTGCAGAGGTTCACAAATTCTCTAAATTGTTACAGTGCAGGAGGAGGCCATTTGGTCCATTATGCTTGTACTGGCCCTTCAAACGAGCATCATTAGGAAGTACCAATCTCTAACCTTATCCCCATATCCCTGTACACCATCACTATCTGAGTAACTATCCAATGGCCCTCTTGAATGCCGCAATTGAACCTGCTTTCCCCACATTTCCATGTGGTGCATTGCGGACCCTCACTCCTTGCTAAGAGGAAGTCTTTTCTCACAATATCGTTACTTCATTTGCACATCATTTTAAATCTATACCCTCTCTTCTTGTTCCTTGAACGGGCAGGAGCAGTGTCTCCCCATCGATTCTATCTAGCCCGCTCACGGTTTTGAAAACCTCTGTCAAATCTCCTGTTGTGATACAAGTCACTGGAGCTAGAGCATCACAGTGAATGAGAACAGAAAGAAATCAAATATCCATTCTCGTGAAGAAAGCAGTGAATTTCTGAACTAGACACAGGATCCAGACAATTGCAAGAGAGTTCCAGCTATCACGAGTCCCAGAGGAAAGAAATTCCCACAGCTGTTCAGATCAGGAAGAGGGCAAGAAACAATCCCACTACAATAGGTGTGAAAGTGAAGATCAATACTAGAGTCTCGTTCAGACTCTGGCACAAGATCTTTCCTGGAGATTGGAAAGAAAGCTTTCTCCAAGGGAAGGGGTTTGGGATCCACACAATTGCATTCCAACAGCTTCTAGGGAAACTGAAATTTCAGAGCTGGGAATAACCCAGAGACACACACACACGCGCGCACAGACACACACACATACGCCCACACACACAGACGCGCACACACACACACACACACACACACACAGGGGGTCGGTGACAGACCTGATCCGAGCATCTATGAAGAGCTGAAGCTAATCTCAGGAAAGGAGGTGGTCTGTTGGACTGAAGGGATCCCATTGGAAAACACCCTCCAATCAGAAGAAAGGAAGATTCAGTGTCAACATATGCAGAGAAAGAGTTGGATCTTTTAGAGATTTTGAGTATGATACTGCCACTGGAAAAGCAGGCCTGTTTTACTAAATGGAGAGAGATTGCAGCACTCTGAAATACAGAGGGATCTAGGCATGCTTGTACATGAACCAGATAAAGTTAGTCTGCAGGTACAGCAAATGGAATATTGGTGGTTACTACAAGAATATAAAAGTGGGATGTTCTGTTGCAGTTGTACAGGGCTTGGTGAGATCACACCTGGAGACCTGTGGGCAGCTTTGGTTTCCTTATGTAAGAAAGGAAATGAATACATTCGGTGTGTTTCAGAGAAGGTTCCCTTGTCTGATTCCTGGGGTGGGGGTGGGATTGGAGTGGGGGGCACATTACAAGGACTGGTTAGACAGACACGGCCTGTATCCGCTGGGGGTCAGGAGAATGGAAGGTGACCTGACTGAAAGAAATAAGATCCTGAGGGGATTGGCTAGACTGGATACGGGGAGAATGATTCCCTTCGTGGGGGAGACACTGTCTAAAAGTAAGGTACACTCTCTTAAGGTGAAGGTGAGAAGGAAATCTTGCTCTCAGAGAATCTCAAGAGACAGATCCACTGTTTATTTTTAAGGCAGAGGTAAATAACATGGGAATCAGAGGGATTGGGAGAAGGCGGGAAGGAGGGGTTGAGGCCACAATCCAATTGGATGTGATTTTATTTAATGGTGGAACAGGTTAGATGGGCCGAATGGTCCACTCTTGCTCCTAATTTGAATGTTTGCATTGAGCCAGTAATGAAACCAGTGATCCACTGTCTACTTTAAAGCACCAACAGAACTGACAGAACATTTGAAAGAGTTCCCAGTGATGAAGAAGAGCTGGTCATTGTCAGTTAGAGGGTGAAACTTTATCACAGTGAGGGAGAGCTACATCGATGGCCAGGAATTTGCCTGGATCCCAAAGATCGAAACTAATCTATGAAGAGGGATCCCTGCTCCATTCTGAGGCTGCCAGTGATAACACCAACAGATCTTAACCAGCCTGAAGCCAGAAGCAGTGGCTGGAATGTGAGTCGCTGCTCTTGTTAATATTTAATACACCCTTTGGAAGTGCAAATTCCGATCTCTCACTTTCAGCCTTCAAGTTAACCAGGCAATGTTCCAGCAGGAAGTAGACAGGGCGTGCGGACGGTCAGGGATTGGACAACTGATAATATCCAGATCTCTGGTGGGGATGGGCAGGATCATGGCCATCTTCAAAGAGGAGGGAACCAGAAAAACTGGGATCAAATGACTCGCAGTCAGATGGGTTGTGAATGTGACGTAATGGCAGTTTCTCTGATGGAGGAGCCCAATGGAGCCCACCTGGGTCCCGGCTCAGTCTGATTTGTACAATTAGTTCAAAGAGAGCTTCCGTGTAAAACTGTGCTTATTTCAGTAACAGGTGGAAAATGAGGAGGGGCCTTGTTAGAGTGGAGGAGACAGAACTGTGGCAGATCAGAAAGGCAGATCAGCCCCTCCTTTTCCAGGGCCAGGAATCCTGGCCCAGTCAGCAATGCCCACAGCCAACGACTGAATAAAACAAACGCAGAGACTGATGGGGGTCTGTGGGGAAACGTAGGAGAGCCAGAAAAAGCCTCTTTACTTTGAATAAAAAGAAACATACAGCTGAAGTGAAGCAGAAACCCACAGAGTTCTGACTCTCCTGACATGGATGGAGTGGGCTGAACAGCCTCCTGTCTTATAAATACTCAATATTTTGATCTACATTCCTATGATATCACTCAGTTATAGCTCAGCACCTTCTCAATCCCCCATTCCCCATCTGTTGTATAGCACAGAAACAGACCACTTGATACAACTCGTCCATGCCAACCAGATCTCCTAAATTAATCTAGTCCTATTTGTCAGCATTTGGCCAATATCTCTCTAAACCCTTCCTATTCATATACCCAATCAGATGCCTTTTGAATGTTGTAATTGTACCAGGCTCCACCACTTCCTCTGGTAGCTCGTTCCATACATGCACCACCCTCTGTGTGAAAATGTTGTCCCTCAGGTCCCTTTTATACCTTTCCCCTCTCACCTTAAACCTATGTCCTCTAGTTTTGGACTCCCTTCCCACCTACCCCTTAAGCTGTACCCAACAATCCCCTCAGTTCTAACTCATAGTCACTCCAACACAAAGACCACTTTCTACTGTCTATCTGTCTCTGCTCCTGCCTCAGCTCATCCACTGCTGAAAGCCTCACCCTCATTCACTCCCCCAACCCATTTGCTATAGTGACAGGATTGATCAGGGATGCATCAGTGGTTGATCAGAGATTAATCTGGGAGCAATGAGTGATCCATCAGGGATTAGTTTGGGATTGATGCAGCATTGTTCTGGGATATGGAGGATGAGGGGGGGGTTTGGTGATCCAGGAGGAAGCTCTGGACTGTGTTGAACCCGCACCCCTCCCGCTGCTAGTTGCCTGTTTAAGATGCTGTTGTTGGTTCCTCGCCATTTCCTGTCAGTCACTGAACTTCCTCGGGGCGTTCACTTCCTCGGCTTAGTAACCGGAGGGAGAGGCGAGCGGAGGAGATGCGATTCGGTAAGTGTGACATTGCGCTTGTCGCTGAGCCGGAGGAAACGGGGCAGAGGGACAGCGGGACCCGGGGGGCGACCGACAAACTGCGGCCAAAACTTTCCAAAAGTTTGCTTCCTTTGTTCAAAGTTTGAGCGGAGCCGCGGGAGGGAGACCAGGGGCAGGGGGCTGTGTCCCGGGGTTGGGGGTCCTTCACCCTCCCAGCGCCTTTCCCTGGGAAAGGCAGTGCCTCTGGAACTGGGGTAAATGTGAACTCAAACCCCTGGTCCCACTTCCTCCCCTTTCTCTCTGCCTCTCTTCTCTCCTCTTCTCTCTCTCCCTCTCTGTCTCTCTTTCCCCTCTTCTCTCTCTCTCCCTCTCTGTCTCTCTTTCCCCTCTTCTCTCTCTCTCCCTCTCTGTCTCTCTTTCCCCTCTTCTCTCTCTCTCCCTCTCTGTCTCTCTTTCCCCTCTTCTCTCTC